TATTATCATTCAAGTAAAAAGTATTATCATTCAAGATAAATGTCGCGCAAAATATCTGTTTTTATTTGCCAGATCTCGAAACTTTGACAATATTGTTTCTTTAATTTTTATGCAAATGCATATGCAGCGAAATGTAGCAAAGATTCTTCGGAGTACATGGCATCGAAATAGCATCCGTTGTTATTACAAATAGCAAATATCGCCATCATTACGCTGTTAGAAGGAAAGAAAAGGGACGGTCTTTTCCCGCGGTGATCATTACCGCGTAATTCAGCAAGCGTGCAACTCGCTTCGCTGCACTTTGCAGCGCACTTTACCAACAAGCTCGCTGCGCCTCGTATTACGCCTATCGAAAAAAAACGAGCTCTGCACTCTTTTGCTTCCGCAAAATTCGCCGACGTTCTGTAGAAAATGGAGCGTGTATGAAAACTGAACTGTGATGAAAAAAAAGAACGCGAGATGTAGGCGATTTCTTGCCTTCTCGCAAGATCAAAGATCAATTTAAGTATTCCTTGGCTGCGCAAAAAACCGCATGATGCGTAAAAAAACGCTTGCTATCGTCGCAGAGATATATCGAAAATTCATTAATACGATATGAATCGATACAACATACGTGTGTATCGACGCGTTTTATAGAAATACAGATGCGTCAATTCTCGAAAGTCGATGACGAGAATTTATCCGCATCGCTGAGATCAAGAGATTTGTGCTGTTCATGACAAAAAGATCTTAACTTGTTCCTGATAAAAAATGACATGATAAATATATCGATAGCGAGATAAATATTTAATTATCGGCCAAGGAGAGGGACATTTCCTTTCCTTTATGCATCTTTGCGTTCGGGAATAAACATGAAAACGACGCTTTCGATTCACGCATAAATTTATATAGCGCAAGAAAATTTGGTGGCGTAATATGCGGTAGAAAATTCCGACGCGATGCACATCGAAGAGCCTTTCCATTCTCTCCATGCAAATGATTTCTAATGATTCCTTAGATGTGAGCATTTCTTAAAATAATTTGTTGAATTATTTTCGCGCTGCAATAACGAAAATCTAATCGTTTTTTCGTTATCATATATCTCTTTTCGAAAATTGTTAATGATGATTGTCGAAATACGTTAATATAAAATTAATAAAAAAAAATAATCCTAACATATCTGTCACATCGTACCTAAATTAATGTACACACTCATAACGTATTTAGATACGACAATTATCTTCGTAAAAGTGTTTTATTTTATTTTGCGAAACACTACTTCCTATTGACCTTCTACGCGATAATGTATCACGAAAAATAAATTTCGATCTTAGAAACGGAGCGCGTGATTAAAGTGTAATTAATCCATTATCTCCTAAATTGCCTTATGTTTCAAGGATATCTTGGATATTGTTAATGGATTTTATCTTCAGGGTGATATCTAAGATAGGTATCTTGTCTCAGCTATACTAATAGCACTTGGCATCGTCCATCGAAATCACGAAGTTTCGAAATATTCAATTCTAAACATGACGAAGTCAATTATATTGCAATCCCGACAATTTTAAGAGACCATCACACAGAACTTATACAAATAGCAAGTAGTAGAGAAAAACATAAAACGACAAAGGTAAAAAGAAAATTAAAAAAAAGAATCAAAGTTATGTAAACGATTTTGCAAGATCAAAAATGCATATGCATTTTATATTGAATTATTGCATTTTAGTTCTGGTATCGTCTCTCTCGTTCTTTCTTATCTTTCTCTTTTCTTTTTTTAGATAAAAAATGGAATTCGCTTGAACGTGTGCAAACATGAAACGTATTCTTTGAAAATAAATCCGCTGCGCGCGTGACCGTAACCGATTTTCAAGCAGGTAGGAAACGATGGATTTGAAATAGGACCGATTGCTCAGGTAAATGAAATGTTGAATAAAAAGATTAGACGAAGAAGGAAGTCTTTCTTTCTCTCAAAGATATTTGTATGACAATGCAAGAAGTAGAAAAAAAATCGTAGATAAAAAAACTTCGAAAAGCACTTCGAAAAAAACTTCGAAAAGCACTTCGAAAAAAACTTGGCTTAAAAGACAATTCGAAGAAAATAATGTAAAAATTCAATATTAAAGTAATTAATATAAAGTTGCTTTTCCAAATGTAATCGTAAATTATTTTCATTTCACTAACAAGACCCAGAGCTTATACAAAATGTGGAATGATTCACAAATTTAATATTAATGACAATGGGAGCTTTCCAGCAACGACACAGAATATCATTCTATCTTTGTTGTTTACTGATATTGAAAGAAGATAGAATGATACGCTGTGTCACTCTGCGTCGTTGCTGGAAAGTTGCTGTCCCACTGTGTTCTGATGATAACGTTAAAATAGACTTTTTCTTTGAAAAAGGAAAGTGTATGACGCGAGACTATATTTTCTAATTAATTCTCTTTAAACTTGAAAAAATCGAAAAAATAATCTTAAAATTAATTTTATTTATATATATGTTATCAAATACAGTAGAAAATGAAAAATTTATGAATATGACAAAAATCGTGAATTTTTATTCCACTATTTAGTATAAATAATATTTCTCAAATATTATTTACACAAATCAATGTCAAGAATATAACAATATATTTTAATAATCTCTCTTAGATAATAAAAAACAGATATCCCCTACAACTACAAAATGTTGTAAAATCAAGATGTTAAGTTTATGTAACGAAAGAAAATTTTTAAGAAATATTTAAGAAAATTAATCTAATTGTGAGCCACATTGGCAGGTTCGTTGAGATTCGAAGGATTGAAGCGAGCAACGGAGTTTCTCACGACAGGTGACACGTGATGGCCCTGGCAGTTACGATGGCGCAGATGGAGCAGGTTGGGAAGCTAAGATGCATGGTGGGAGGCCGACGCATCTCCTTCAGAAGCATCGGAAAGATATGAGAGAGCATATTCCAGGAACGAATCTAAGGGTTCCTTTGTCAAGTCTCACGTAAAAACGTTTCAAAACCGTGATTGTCATTACTTACAATCCTATTACGAGAGATAGGCAGTTTCACATCTACTTTCTTTTATCAGCTTAATTTTTTTCGTTTTTTCAGAAAAAATAATTTACATAATTTTTGAGAGATAAATGAAATATTTGCAGGAAATATATATTTATGAATTAACAGCAAATATATATAACAGAAATTAATTTCAGATAAATTCTACGTTAAAAGTTTCAATTTGTATAAACTTTTGGTTAATAAAATATATTTGTAATATTGAAAATTGAATATGATAGGTAATGATTTCATCTATTATTTTCATTAAAATAAAATCGTCGTTATGTTCAGAGAACATGCTAATTTATTTTACTATAAGTCACACATATTTTCAGAAATATCTTCTTTCCTATAATACAGATCCAATTCAAAAGAAATTTTCGTCTGTTCGATATAATATATGTATTAAGTTTTTTTCTTCAGAAATCTTAAAATTTTTATTTTAATAATGATGTCTTCCGTGTATCCGATGATATGATAATTAGTACATTCGCGTCGACTGTGTTCACTGTCGAGCGTGTTCAGTTTCGAAGGCAAGAGATACTAGCAGCAACGAAGAGAAGCTTAACGGATAAGTCGAGAGAACGCATCTTTCTTCTCTCGCCGCCTATGATGAGAAGTGATGGGGGCCACGGAGGGGCAACGAGGAGCAAGAAGGAACAGAGAGGAGACGAGTAAAGTCGCCGCGATAAAGACGGTGTCGGCCTTGAGGTATGCGGGACTTCTATGCGGTGAAAATTACCGATGGCGATGAGTCGCAAAACTACCGTTCTTTAATGAACCATAGCGACGCGTACAGCGTGAAATTTGTGTTCAATTTTAGAAAAAAAAAAACAAAACTATTTCACTGTTCCGATCGTACACGGAGGCATTTTGTATTTCACGTTACGTCTTATTGTCACGAGATTATTTTGTTCAAGTAGATTAATCTGATAAGAAGCCCGATTAAATGATTACGCTAAAAACTCTCTATTGTTAGATATGTTTTTATAGCTTCAAAATCGAGATTTTTTTTTAATATAGACTTACGATTTAACAACCTCTTTACGTATCAATAACAGTAGAAATAGCAATGAATACTTAATTTTCATACATACAAAAGATCTTATTTTCTATCTGATGTTATGGAAAAATTTTAAATATATCTGTTTATGAAAAGAATCTGTTCAGTTAAAGAAAAGATGTTATATATAATTTTGGAAATATTTACTATAAAAATACGTATGTAAGATGATATGTATGATTTTTCAATCTACAGCTTTCAAAATGCCTAAGAATCTTCCTATAGGATTATGACATTAGGAATGAGAAATTGTGTAAATTTTTTTCCTGAAAATACATCGAATAAATTAAATTTTTTAAATGTTACTATTCGATCAATAGCATAGATTAGTGAAATATATCAGAAATTTTTTTCTTTTATTATTTTACATTAGAAAATGTACATATAATCTTAATCTATATGTATTCTACATTAATAGCGAAAGATTATATATAGCGATTATATATATAACTAAGCTTATAATTTTAATTAAGATTCATTTATTTCTATGTTACCTTTTAATCTACATTTAAAGAGAAATATATTTCGATATCACAATCTATATTATCAAGTACGAATGATAACATATAACGAGTAACTTATTTCGATATATAATGCAAGAAAAAATACATACAATTTCTCGCTCATGTCATAATTTAATATAACTGCAGGGAATATAAACATTGAAACGAAACTCAAGTATATCCATTTTACTCGACGGAAGAAACGAAATGAAAGAAAAGTATGCGCGTTTAAAGGTACCGATTTACAAGAAATACGCTTTCGACTAAAATTGTCGGGGGTCGGAAGAGAAAAAAAAAGACAAAAAGAAGAAGAGACCATCTCCGGTCGTTGCGCGGAAAAGATCTGTTCCTCCGCCGAAATCGAGTCGCGAAAAGCCAGAGGCGAAAAAGCAGCGTGGAGTTACTCACTTGAGGAAGTAGATCTGGCCCTCGGCGGTGCGTGCCTGCTCCCATCCGTGCGGCAGCGGGCCCAGGTCGTCGACCTGGCTGCTGATGACGTCGTAGCTGCGCTGCTTCTGATGATGATGGTGACGCGCGTGCGGCTGCGGCGCGTGTTGGGGCGCTTGTTGCGCCGAGGCGTAGGTCTGTTGCAGGGAGGCCGGGCTGCTGTGTGCGCGGGGATGAGCGACGGTGAGACCGGCCGCCGCCGCGGCCGCGGCCACGGCGGCGGCGGCCGCGACCGCACCTGCGGCGCTATTCGCACCTCCACCACCGCCGGCGCCTCCGCCGCCACCCGCGGCCCCGCCGGCACCCGCGGTGCTACCGGTGCCGTTTCCGCTTCCGTTGGCACTTACGTTAGGCGCGCCGCCACCGCCGCCGCCACCGCCGCCCCCGCCGCCGCCCCCGCTGCCGCCGCTCGGTGTCGCGGCGGTACCGAACGCGGAATCCGCGGAGTTCTCGCGCGAGTGCGAGATCGAGGGGCTCTTGCTGCCGGTGGACGGCGGATTGAAGAAGGAATCCGGCAGATTGCGCATGCGCAGCGGCACCTGTAGCGGCCGCTTGGAGTCGGGCTTGAGGACGGTGTCGAATAGCGCCTGTAGATCGGACTCGGAATTCTGGTCGACCCTGACGACGAGATTACTCTTGGACAACTGGTCCACGTCTTGGTTGAGCGCCATTTTGGATCAGATCCGCACGTTCGCACGCGCGCGCCTGCCTTCTCTTCCTCCGCTCTTGTAACAATCCGTGTCCTTGTCCCTCCTTCTTCGTCGGCGTATCGCCGCGTCCTCGTTGCTCCTTCTGCGTCTATCCGTTCTCCGTTTCCAAACGCTGCGACCTCAGCTCCCGTCTCGATCGCGGTTGCCTCCTTCGCGGCGCGTACCTATATATCGCGTATCCGCGTACGACGTAGCGGGCCTCTCTCGTTCTCGTTTTCTCTCACCTTCCCTTTCTCTCCTACGAAACGTCTCGTTCCCACGGGACGACGCCGATTCTCCGAGCTCGCTCTCGCTTCTACCTGAACGCCTCGTGCGAGACGGGATAGAACGACCGGGATAAGCCGTCGTCGCCGTCACCGCTGCTGGTATCCAGCAGCGTTCCCCACGATACCAATGGGGATAATCCCTCGCCGCCCTCCTCCCCGCTGGCTACCTCTTCTCTCGCCGCTCAATCGCGCTTCCCGATCTCCGTGTGTTACGGGTGGCCTACACCGATTGAGACTGCGGGACTCGCTCTCCTCGTCGTCTCTCCCACCTCTCCGACGTATCGGCTCGCCCTACCTGCGTAGACTCGTGACGAGCGCGAGAGCACAGGAAACACGACCTGAGAAAAAAGAGAAAGATAGATGGAGAGGAGGGGAAGAGTGCTCTCTCTCGAGTCTTCGAAGATTCCGTCTTGCATTCACCAGCGACGGTCGCTAGCACTTGGACGATAACGCACGTCGATGATATATTCGCCAAGACGAAGATGTCCGGGAAGCCCTCCCGAAACGTCGTGGTGCGCACATTCGAGAGAGAGAAAGAGAGAGACAGAAGGTGGTCACTCACGTCGCCTCCGTTTCCTCGGATATGTCACTACGGTGATAACAATGACGATGACGACATCAGCGACGAAGACGATGACAGCACGATTGCTCGGCGAAATGATACGGCGGGACTCGCGACATCGCGCGGATACAATCACGATCGCGATTGTTCCCGACTGTTCCTTCGCGAGACGACCGGATGACGATGGTGGTCGGACATTAAAGCACCTCGGGGCGAGGAAGTCGCGCTCGCACGTAGATGCAGGCACGGATGCGACGACAAGAAGAAAGGAGAGAGTGTCACTATCCTCTTCTCGAGTCGTGGCACCGACCCAATCCCGCCGTCCGGTCCTCTCGAGCGATGACTGATGAAGACTGTTGCTTCGGACACGGTCGCGCCGTCGCGTTACGTCGACTCTACGAGGCGAGGATCTGGCAACCTGTAACGCGTTAATGATGCGCAGCTCTGGCAACTACGCGTCCAGCCGCGAATCGCCAATCGGGAAAAAGCACTTGATGATGCTCGGTGTCGGATCTCGCCCCGAAGCGCCGAGCCAAGCCGTGTACTCGGCCTGTTGCTCCAACCTACCTATCTACAGGTTCCGAAGGCGTCGTTGGTGGTACCAGCGGGGAGGGAGGGAAGGCCCGGGGAAAAATGCCTAGGCGCGTACTAAACGCGCGTTGATCCTTTTCAAAGTAGTTTCCCTTAGGAGTATTTTAGCTTATTTAAGAAACCTTCAACTTCCTCTTCAATTGTTGTGTGTGTTTCTGCTGTAAAATTTGAAATAAATTTAATATTGAACAAAAGAATATCGTTTTACAAAAGTATATGTTATTATTAGTTGTAATCATTATTATTTTATTACTAATATTATTATTTAAATATAATATTATTATTTATATGCGATAATTTTTTTCAATATAAATTTTACTTATGTCAACAAGAGAGACATTAACTTTAGCGAGAAAAAACTTGAAATACACGAAGATGATTTCGATTCGATTCTGGATATATAGAAATGAATCGGTAACTCGAGATTGACATGTATAATAATGATACGATATACAAATATCTCTGACACTTTATAATAAATATTCACGATAAGTTTGCAAAACTTTCGTGATAATTCAAATATATCGAAGAACCCCTACCATGATTATATTGCAAAATATCGAAATGATCCTTCGTAGCCTCAGTCGTAAATATTGCATAAAAATATGAAAAATTTAACAGATGTTAGGAATCTCTCTTTTTCTTCAGGTTACAAGAAATCAATTTCGATTATCCATCTAATATCTTGACGATTACAAACACATTTAACAGCGATTAAAAACTAAATATTAGCGTAGATAATATGTCAAGCATAGACATAATAAAGAATATAGTATTCTTATCTTCACCTAAGATACAGGAGTCTACTTGGACTATGTTCATGTCGACGTTACAAGTTCTGGAAGTGTGATTGACCAATCGGAGCAAAGAGTCTCTCATCCTGATTGGTCAATCAATCGAAATACTTGTGAAGCCAATTAGAATGCACTTTTCAGTTCATTCGTAAAAATTGTGATGCCAAACTTATCCACATATGTATCTATGGTCTAATCATAGCCGATAAATTTGAATATTCAAAATAATAAATATAACCGTATGTGTGGTGCTCCGTCTTCTAGGGTAGAAATCCATTTGTATATAAACAATCGTCGATGATCATTTCATTCGTGTCTCATTTAAACGGAAATTAGAAAAGGAGGAAATATATCGCGAGATGTCCAAGTTGCCAAATTTAGGTGGCGAAAGTGCGATTGATGTAAAGGTCAAGGAATGTCTGGAAGAGAGTTTAATTCAGGATGATTATAAGAAACTAAAACATGAAAATGAGTGTTATCTGCAGCAGTTGCATGTTTTACGACTCAAGCTGGAAGCCAGCGAAGCACTGAATAAAGAGCTTCAAGAAAGGAACGAGGCTTTGGAGCAATCGGCTGATCAACATGCAACGAAAATAAACCAAATGTTTGCCGAAAGGAAAGAAAAGTACAAAAATTATAGTTGTTCTATCAGTGATCATTTAATGATGAATTGACTTAGTTAATTTTAAATATATAAATAGATATATTTTTTCTTAGTTTTGTATTTGTTACATGTCATCAATATATACATACGCATTGATACAGTATTATTTTTTTTGTATGTTAGGTATAGAGTTGAAAAAGAAGAATATGAAAATTATATTGCAGATTTAGAAATAAAAGCTACACAAAATATACAAGAGATTACAGAGTTGCGTGAAGAATTAAAAAGATTGAGAAATTTAAATCAACCACATGATTCCATTTGTACAGATGATGTAACGATGTATAAGGAAGAAAACAAAGAGTTAGCTATACTTCTTAAAACTGAGAAAAAAAATGTAGAACAATTAGAAGAGAAATTTACAAATATGGAGACTCAATATCAAGAACTTGAAAATCTCTTAAAAGTAAAACAATATAAATATGTAAATTTTTAAATTTATTAATTAATGTAAAATTCTTATTGAAAATGTCTCTTAATAGATAACAACAAAACAATTAGAAGAAAAAAATGAGGCATTAGAAAATATGCGTGAAGAATTAGCTATTAATCGTATGGAATTGGAGTCATTGAAAGTAACTCCTGCTAGTGTTACATGTAAAGGTAAAGTATGAGAGAGATATTTAGTCTAATATATAATATATAACAAATATAAATTTCTTCAAAATTGATTTTCTATTTCAGGCAATTCTCTATTCGCCGAAGTTGAAGATCGCAGACAAATGTTGTTGGGTCAAATGAAAAAACTACAGATTAAATACCAGGAAGCAAAACAAGCATTAAATATAAAAATGAAGGAAATCCACTTATTAAGAACAGAGAAGACTGAATTAATTAGGAAATGGGAAACTGATGTAATTGATGCTCAGCAGGAGGATGCAGATCTTTTAAATAAATATAAAAGTAGAATTTTTGATCTTGAGAGTAAGTTGAAAATTGAAATAGAAAGAAACAATCAAGTGGAAGAAATACAATCTACAGATGACAGTTTCAAGTAAGCTAAAAAATTTTGTTAAATTATTTTTATTTTATGTTCATAAAAATTAAACATACATATGACTTTTAGTTATGCTCAATTATTGGTGACCAAAACGAAAAAAGAATTAAAGGAATTGAAAGAAAAAATGGAAAGACAAATTATGCAAATGTTAATACAAGAAGAAGCAAATCATCATATATCAAAGCAGCTTCGTTATTGGCGATCTAAAGCAATATCTATGGAGGTAAGTAACTGTTTTTAAGTCAGTTAAAAAAAAAGAATTGTATTTCATTCAAAAATTGTATGTAAAATGTGTATGCAAATTATATAACTTTTAGGTTCAAATTTTGGCTATAAAAACGCAGCTAGAAACACAACAGATAAATAATAATCATAATAAAAATCTATCAGAAATTATTGAAAATTTCAATGTTAATATTGCTAATACTGATTTTGAAAAATCTTGTGATAATTTAAAAATTACATCTAATAATCTTATACCGGCGAGTAATATATGTCAACGAAATTTAAGAGCATCAGATAAATCAATAGTAGATGAATGTATAAATAATCAAAAAGAATTCAATAAAAAAGTCATTTAGTTCATTAGTGGATATTAAAGATACTGAAAATAAATTGTTTTATTAATAATTGTTATATAGGTAATTGAAAACTTTGCAAAAATTTAAAAGAAATTTAGAAATCTGTAAAAAAATATGCATTCAAAAATAAAAAATTCAAATCGTTGCACTAAGTATGATAAAGATTATTGGAGAACGTAATATATATATATATATATATATATATATATATATATATATATATATTTATAATGCTTGTATACTTTTTCTTCTATTAAATATTTTTTCTCATTTTGTTAATTTTAAATTTTGATCTGTGTTTAAGATATTAATCCATAAATAATAATTATAGTTATGTATATTAATATTAGTCATTGTAAATTAATCAATAAAAGAAATAAATAAAAACAATCAGCCAACACAAACTTCATGTTTTTAAAAATTTAATTTTAAATTCACATAATTGGCTTATACAAAATTCGTTTCTAACGATTTTAGGAACAGGCATCCTTATGAAAGCTCTTTAGTCAACATTCAATAATCATTTTTGTATCTTGCCAACAAGATATCTACTTACTAATTGGCTAATACACTATATAATATATATAAATATATTATAAGTATTGTAAAATGTATTTTTCGAATTTAATAAAATAATTTATTTTCAGTATTTTTAATATCTTAAATCTTTAAAAACATGAACATGAATATAATAAATCAGTTAACGTAAACTTCAGTTTTTAAGATTTAATTTAAAAGTAAAATTATCAAAATAAAGAAAAATATTTAATAGTAGAAAAAGTAGATATATTTTTTTTTGGTATTATAAAATGTATTTTTTTTAATTTAATAAAACAATTTATTTTTTATTTTTGTTAGATTGTTTTTTTATATTATACCTAGATACATTTCTTTCTTAAAAATATATCAATTATATTTCTTATGAAACTTTTCTGGATATATATACATGTATATATAGTTCTTATATTTTATCAGAGAATTTTTATAGAGATAATATTTACGATTAGTTTTCGAGATTTTTCAGTATAATTTTTCTTTAATAGTCCATTTATAAAAATGAAATTTTTATAAATTTATAATTTCGTGCTCTACAAATAACTAGATATAAGCGTATTAATATTAATCATTGTAAATTGATCAACATAAAATGAGATAAATAAAAACAATCAGCCAACACCAGCTTCATGTTTTTAAAGATTTAATTTTAAATTCATATAATTGGCATATAATACAAAATTCGTTTCTAGCGATTTTAGGAACAGATGTCCTTATGAAGGCTTTTCGGTCGCGATTCAACGATCATTTTTGCATCTGGCCAACAAAGTATCGATTACTAATTGACTAACCATTATTGTAAAACAGCAGCATTTGCAGCTATACTGGGATTATTGATAACTTCCCCCAGACTCTCGAGCAATTCTTTCCTGTAATCGTCGAAATCGCCGTCCATAGCGAGGATTTGCTGGTTCTCAATCACATAGAGGCAGCATTCTGTATCTCGAATTAATCGTTCGTCGTGCGAGACGATAATGACACCGCCTTTATATTCATTTATAGCGTCAGCCAATGCGTCAATGGATTCTATGTCGAGATTATTGGTCGGTTCGTCTAAAATCAGCACATCTGGCGCATTTAGACAAAGCTCAGCCATCGCGACGCGTGCTTTTTGGCCTCCCGATAGATCTTTCATCTTGATCGTGTGCGCGTGAGAGCTAAGACCAAAAGTGCCTAATTGTTTGCGCGCCTTTTCGTATGGAAGATCGAATAAGCGCATCAAGTATTCCGCCGGGGTCTCTTCAGCAGTCAGATGCTCACCAGAGTGCTGATCAAATCTTCCTATCCTCTGCAAAGAGTAAACTAATTTGTGACAAAAATACCGGGATGTGAAAATATTATTAAGAAAAATCATATTCATTTCTTTGCTTTACATTAAAAAATTGCATTTATTCAATGATGAAAGGATGATTTATTATTTAATTCATACGATTTTACACTTACCAATCGATGATTTTTTGTGATTTCTCCCTTTTGAGACGTTATGTCACCCATTAGTAATTTCAAGAATGTAGACTTGCCGACACCATTAGGACCTACTATAGCTACTCGAGAATTTAAGTCTATACCGAAATCTGCGTCGATGAACAACGGTTTTTGTCCTTCATATGCAAAAGTTACATCTGAAAAATAAAATTAATATTTTAATAATTTAATTTGAATTTTTAAATAAAGTTTTTGTTCTCTCCCTCTCTCTTTTGTACATGCGCAAACTCTTTCTTATTAATTTTTTTAGTATTATAATATTATAAACATATAATACGATGAATATAAATACAGAAAAATTAATTACTTTGAAGGCCAAGAATTGGAGGTTGAAGTGGTGGTGGATCTGGAAAACTGAATTTTACTATATATTCCCTTGGTTTCTGCAACAATTCCGTAGGTCCAGTGTCCTCCTCTTGCTTCTGCATTTTCGTCCTATTTTTCTCTTGCTTCCTAGTAAGAGCTTCCTTTTGCTTCTTTTCAGCTTGCTTCTTGCTTTGACCAGATGCTTTAAGATCCTTCAATCGTTTCTCCTGCTTCTCGTATGCTTTTACCATCTCTTTTTTCTTTTGTACATACATCTTCTTAAACATGCTATAATTTCCTTTATAATAGAATAACTTTTGCTGGTCCAGGTGTATCACATCTGTGCATACATTGTCCAAGAAACTTTGGTCGTGTGATACAACAAGCAGGGTTTTCTTCCAGCCCTGTAGATAATTATCCAGCCAGATTACCGCGTTCAGATCCAAGTGATTTGTAGGTTCGTCTAGTAACAATAATGTGGGTTCCAGAAAGAGTGCTCTTGCAAGCGAAACACGCATTCGCCAACCACCGGAGAAATTCTTTGTCGGACGATCTTGCATAGCACGATTAAATCCCAGACCAGCAAGGATTCGTCTAGCTCGTGGCTCTGCTGAGTCAGCACCAATAGCTTTTAATTCTTCATAAACCTAAAAATATAATTTCATATCATACATATTATCATATTTACTTCCACAGTTATAAAGTTTACTTAGAAAAAAAACATGAAATTCAACATAAAAAAAATGGATAACAAAGTGACAAATTATACTATTTCCTAAATTTTATGACTATTTTCTAACATTCAAAGTTTATAAAAATAAATATGATAATAACCTCCTGCAGTCTGTTTTGCGCATCTGTTACTCCTTGTTCAGTCAATTCTTCTAATCTTTTACATTCCGCCTGAAGCTCTGTACATTTTGTATCAGCTTTCAGAACTACTTCTACAGCTGGTGTATCATCTGCTATAACTTCTTGCTCACAGTATAAAACATCTATGGTACTTGGAATATTGAAGGCTCTTTTGGCTATATGACGGAGCAAAGTAGTCTTGCCATGACTGTAATAAGAATAAAATGTAATACATTTTCTATGAGAAACAATTAATATAAAATAACTTATAAAATAATATCGTAGTAACATTATATATTATAATAATCTATAAAATACATACAAATATATGTTTTAGATATATGTTTAATACTACAATATATTTATAAAAAATTTAAATCGTCATTTTACAGGTCTTTCAGATCTTTTGAGTAAAGAAAAGGAATTGAAGTTCTTTATAATATATTTTATAATGAAGAATAATGTACCCGTTAGGCCCCACTAGGCCATAACGTCTGCCTTGCGCTATGAGAAGACTGGCATTGGTAAAGAGCTCTTTGCCCTTGGCTGCTATGCTGAAATTGTCCACCTTGATGTCGACCGCGTGGTCCAGCTGCTGATTGCCACGCTGCTGCGTCTCTCTCTGCGAGATTGTGAAATTAGACTCCAATTCACTATGACCCTGACAGCCAGCCTTCGTCAGCATTTCCATCGTCCGTTCATATTCCTGCTGCTTCTTCAGCTTCTTCTTCTCCTTGTGCGTAAGCTTTTTACTCGGTAGATCCTCGTTGAGCTCCATGTCTACGACTTTCCAACCTCACTTTTCCCGCATGCGGAGCACGTCGACAGCAAAAGAGGGCAAGAGAGCTTATGTGACGTCATTCAAGTCCAAGCATAGATCAAGTACTTTATTGAAGAGGGCCAAACGTACATAAATTTTTTAAAATAAAAAAAAACAGCGGAATCTTTCGCTTTAAGATGCGGCCTCATTGACGCTAAAAAGTAGCGTCAATGAGGCCGCACCTTTAAGCGGCCTTTTCATTGACGCTACTTTTTAGCGTCAATGAAATTGCACCTTAACAGTTGGCAGCCCTACGAGATAGGCTGTGCAGCACTGCGCGTATATAAAATAAATTTGAAATCGCTTCTAGCCTAACCATCTTCACGCGATCGACTTTATTTGAATTGCACGGCATCGCATCGAATTATGATGCGGCGCCGATTTGTTCGAACGTAATTCGGGACATCGCGATGCTGTATAAGCGTCGAATGAGCACGAATTGTCACGCAAATATGATAAATCACATCTACTCACCGTTCACCGGCTGTTCCACAGGCCGCTCCACTCGCTCGCCTCGGAACGTCCCATTCCGATCTTGATGCACACGATATCATCAACGCGAACGCGCGACACTTTATTCGGCACTCCCGATATTCGCTCGCATCCGATAATTATCATCAAGGGCGCAAATAACGCGACGCGACTTCGCTCCATCTTCGCGATCGCGCTATCACTGAACTGTGAAAAATAGCTGTCGCGCACTTTCACCGACATATTATGAAAGTCGCGCGATCATCCTTGGACACTTTCGACGCTCTTTCACTCGCGATATTCGTTTAAAAACGGTTAAAAGACGCGAAAAATGCGGACGTACGACGATCCGTGTAACTGCGTATGACTCCGATTCACGTATGACGCGTATGACGTAGCAGTGACGCGTATGACGTACAGTCACGCGCCAACATGGCGGCCGAACCAGTGCGCAGAAACGAATGCGCACTGGTTCGGCCGCCATGTTAGCGCGTGATTGCTACGTCATACGCGTCATACGTGAATCGGAGTCATACGCAGTTACACGGATCGTCGTACGTCCGCATTTTTCGCGTCTTTTAACCGTTTTTAAACGAATATCGCGAGTGAAAGAGCGTCGAAAGTGTCCAAGGATGATCGCGCGACTTTCATAATATGTCGGGGAAAGTGCGCGACAGCTATTTTTCACAGTTCAGTGATAGCGCGATCGCAAAGATGGAGCGAAGTCGCGTCGCGTTATTTGCGCCCTTGATGATGATTATCGGATGCGAGCGAATATCGGGAGTGCCGAATAAAGTGTCGTGCGTTCACGTTGATGATATCGTGTGCATCAAGATCGGAATGGGACGTCCCGAGGCGAGCGAGTGGAGCGGCCTGTGGAACAGCCGGTGAACGGTGAGTAGATGTGATTTATCATATTTGCGTGACAATTCGTGCTCATTCGACGCTTATACAGCATCGCGATGTCCCGAATTACGTTGAACAAATCGGCGCCACATCATAATTCGATATGATGCCGTGCAATTCAAATAAAGTCGATCGCGTGAAGATGGTTAGGCTAGAAGCGATTTCAAATTTATTTTATATACGCGCAGTGCTGCACAGCCTATCTCGTAGGGCTGCCAACTGTTAAGGTGCAATTTCATTGACGCTAAAAAGTAGCGTCAATGAAAAGGCCGCTTTACACACTGAAAAAGTTGAAACTGTTTGAACTTTATTTTATTGATGCCATATCTAGAGAAAGTCAAGTGATTTTAATTTGCCGCTGGTTTCTAGCGTCAATGAAATTGCACCTTTATATAAGTTTCTTCTAATTTAAAATTTTTTAAACTTGAGTTTATTAGAGATGAAATTTCTTTATTTTTTTAATATTGAACATCAGATTGGCTCGCAATGTATAATTCTTTAATGTGATGGTTTTATATAATTAGTGCTCCTCTTTTGTATGCAGAGAAAAGTCTGAGGGTGCGGACTCAAATAACGAATTTGAATATATATATATATATATATATATATATATATATATATATATATTCAAATTCGTCATTTCTCATTTATTTTAAAATTTATTTGATATACGTAAGCACCTTGCTATACAGCACTAGTGCTACCGCTATTTTGTGCACATAGCACGGAACAGAACCAGAAATTGTGCACATTATATGTTACCCTCTGAGAACTTTCGTGGACATTGGCTTTGTAGTTCATGTCCACGTTTTTTAGATTAACAGAGGGCGTTTCAGAGATCACCTAAAAGCGGGCCATGACACTGATGACACCTCTCAGTCTTCTCTCTGGTATCATCGGTTTCATTATTGTAGATACTTTATTGATATTGCGTTTGCCGTGCATGCGCGAAAAACCCGGCCTGAACAACAGACTGGATGTATGATGTGTGACGTAGAATGTGCAATTGATTTTAAAAATTGTTATATTATTATTTATGTTTTGATAAAAATGATATTAGAATAGTGATAGTAGTGATAGTAATAACAAATAAATCAATGAAGTAATTTTTTTCTATATAAAAAGGCATGTCTCCCCAAAGTAGATTCGATGGCCCTTGCATATTGCCTCATATGTTTTGTTGACAAGACTAATTTTTTCTTTGTCCAGGCAAGTTTGTTTTATCACTTTGCATATTTATTTATTTTGTGTCTTGTTTACATTGCATCCATTATTTAATCAATTATTGTAATGCATATTATCTTCTCCTATTTAATGTAAGATGTAATTAAATTTTGCAACATAATTCTTGTTTTATAATATATATTCCTTTAAAAAAAGGAGTAAAATATTTAAAAAATTTTGAATATCATTTTCTTTGTAGGAATTGATACAATTGTATTTGCTAGAAATTTCTGCATGTATGAATCATCCATATTTGAAAAGAAAACCCTTTAAATCTTACTTTTGTTCTCTTTTAATTATTATAAATATTATAAATGTAGAACACTTTGCAATTTGATCTGTGATTTATATTTTGGATGCTTAATAACAGCACAAATATCAAATAATAGAATAGACATATGATTTTAATTCTTAAAATTAGATATAGATGCTATAACTTCATTCATGATTACAGAGTGCTGAGAATGGCGCAGGACAATGCGAATAAGTTGACAAGAGAAGACTTTGATGCTGGTCCATGCAGCTTCGATGAGATTGAGCTAGGCTTATATCTGGGTAATCTCACGGCTGCAACAGATGTGGACTGGCTGAAAGAAGTTGAAATGACTCATATATTGACAATAGATTCCTGTCCATTGCCAAGAAAGATCCAGGAATGTATCCCCAATTTAGTCATTAAGTATATTCAGGTAACAGATATGCCACGAGAAGATCTCTTAACGCATTTTGAAGATTCCTATGAATTCATCGATCGTGCTCTCGAATCCAATGGCAGGATACTGGTGCACTGTTACTTTGGTGTATCACGATCCGCTACCATGGTGATTGCATATGCAATGAAAAAGCACAAATTGAGCTTTGCAGATGCGTTCCAATTGGTAAAATCGAAACGACGATTCGTTGCACCAAATCCTGGTTTCATGGCGCAGCTGCAACTTTACGAGGACATGGGCTATGGTGTGGATAGCACCAATGTGCAATTTAAAATGTATCGGTTACAAATTGCCGCTGACAAGGTGCGCAAGGCTCGCATTCTTCCTCAGAGCTGCGTCGATTTAGTAAAGCCAGATCCCGCATTGACAACCGTGCGTCCCGAGCCGACAGTTTATCGTTGTAAGAAATGTCGCCGCATCGTGGCAAGCGCTAGCAATATTTTACCCCACGCACCACACGAGAAACAGATCTGGCGGCACATCAGCGTTAAAAATCCAAAAGATGTCGAGAACTGTGATAAACTAGTCCTGAAAAGAGAAGAGCCAACGCGAGTCGAGCTTTGCGACAAGATCTATTTTGTGGAACCTTTGGCTTGGATGCCCGACATCACGCATACCGTCGAAGGCAAATTGAATTGCCCTAAATGTAACACGAAGCTCGGCTCGTATAGCTGGATCTCTGGCAGCCAGTGTCCCTGTGGTAGTAAAATCGCACCAGCTTTCTATTTGGTACCCTCCAAGCTCGACTGGAGCAACGTTGTGCAAAACGTGCAAGTAACGGTATAGTATTGAAAGATATATGAAATTAAAATGCTGGAAATAATCGATCTTGGACTACTTTGATACTTGATGAAATGTTTCAAAGGTTTTAAAGTTTTTCAAGTATTTCTTATAATACTTATCATGGCAATATGAATCGCCGAAGAATGTCGTGAAGATATATAAGGCGTTTAATAAACGTTATCATTTTTTTAATGCTTTATAGGTATCTCCGACATTTTTTGAGTAATATTTTTATTAAATTTGTAACCTTATATGGTCCAAGATGATTGAAATAGATATTGGTAATGATTCTCAGCAAATGTATTATAAATTTTGTTAGCTATTTAAAATCTGAATTTAAATTAGATCTTTAAAATCTAAATTTAATTAATTATTATAAAGAAGAATTATATCTAGAGAGAAAATTTATGATTTAATTATAAAAAGTGATTTAATTTTAATCACTTTTTATGTGTATAATATATTTATATTTTATCTGTACTATTACTCTTTAATTATAGTAAAGTTTTTTATTCCGTTTCTAAAAATCTCTTTACTTGTGCTGAGGATTAAGAATAATGGATTTTAAGATTGAAACAAATGCGACCAATATGTATGCCGGCTGACTGTATTCTAATCCTGTGCCAATATATTTCGATATGTGTATATATATACATGTATTTGTTATATACATCCGTATGGTGTTGTACTTTTTTTATTATATATATGGGAAACATATACCTCTTTCTAAAAAAACATTCTCTAATCTCAATGTTTTTATTGCACAACAGTGTCTTTGTCTATACCGTCTATACCGTCTACATATCTATAAGGCCATAACTTTGCAGAATAACGTTCTACTGTATTTATATGTTTAATTAAGATATCAATATACTTTCTCGTAACTTAACATGCTATTCTATCGACGGGAAAAAGAAGATGACTTATTTATTCGTTACCCTGTGTGTTTAAAACTTATAGTTTAAACTTAATCTAATTATTATCTATAATGATTATCATTGGTTAAGGCATTCGATCAACGTTGAACGTTTTTACAGTGATAATTTGCAGAATATTTGCATCATCAAATCTTTGCACATAAAATCCCGGGATACCCGATACTATGCGAGACGTTAGCATCCTTGGATTTTCAACATCTCAAGTTGCGATCTTAAATCGATTTCTGCCAGTCAAATTTTATCTTTGGTTTCGACAACATCTAAGATGAATGATTCCTCACGTCGCGTCTCCAGGATCAGCTTGTGAAGCGCAATTCAAATACACTACAAATTGCCATATTGCAGATTCGATTCCTGTGAACGATATCACATACTCGCGTGCATCGCTGGATACGTCGAGCCGTAGGGATGTGCTCGTAGTCTCAAAGCGTTCAAGCCGTTCATGGTGGGTCCATCGAGGGACCCATGGTGGATATCGGCCTGATGATGATGATGATGGTGATGGTGATGATACGGCGGTAGACTCACGTTCGCCAAACCACCGTTCGCGGCGAAACCGTGACAGCTGGCGGTCTGCATCGCGTAATGCTGCGGCGTCGTTCTCCAATAATCACCGTAAGAATACTGGGCCGTTACTTGGGTGGTCGTGTTCTGCGACGATTCCGTATTGTTCTCCGTATTATGCTGCGAGGGATGCGACACTCTGATGGGACGCAACGGTAACGCGGCCTCCATCTCTCTACCTGCGGAGACGCCACGGTTCATCGCCGAGCTCCGCTCGTTCCGCCGAAACTTCGCCCGCCTGTTCTGGAACCACACCTAAGCAGAAGGAAAGAAATTCTTGATGCTCTTGCTGTCACAATTTTATCGCCATTTAATTTTGATTTTTATGACTAAAATATTGTACGATTGGAAACAGAGAGCGTGAATGAAATAGAATAATCATATCTCTTTGTCACCCCAGATAGAATAATCGATGGAAAGATAAAAATTAGAGATACTCAGAATAATCATGTTTCTACAAAAGATTAAGATATTTATGTGCAATACAAAATTCTCGTTTTTATTAAATATGTATGACTTTATTAATTATATTACTTTTGGCAAAGATATACGGAAATCAATGCATTTAATTAAATTCGTACGATATATCGCAAATCGAATAATCGATTTAAAAGACACATGTTTCTTTCAGAAATAATTTCCTCGACGAATAATCGGTGCTTTTTATATCACATTATCTGAACCATTTAAAAAACAGCATACTCTTAATTTTAACGTGAATGTATATTTACCATTTCAGCTTCACTATGATCGAGTTTCTTTCGATCTCTAAAATGAATTCTACGAAATTCTAAAGACTAGATTATATAACAAATAAGTCCGATTCAAAAGATCGTGCCGCCTTTTAGGAATATCTTCAATGAAAAATCTAGACTCTGATCCGACGTGTATCCAAGTATATCAAATGCTCTTCATCTGACATCACTCCAAATCAAGATAAATAAATTCGATTCAAAGGACACGCTTCCTACGTGATACATCTTTTTCAATGATGAAAAATCTCCGGCGATCAATGCTACTCGTGTGTTCTCACGTTACTCTAAAAATCTACATTCGTCGGAGAGACGAGGACGGCAACGGGGAACGGAAGGACGCGGCGCGCCGACCGAAGACGGGACAGCGTGACGGCTCCTGGCAGGCGTAGCGACGCCGCAGACATACGGACAGATAGACAGAAGTGTGTAGAACGACATGGATGACGGCGACGGTGACGGCGACGCGCACACGTGCTCGTTGCACGTGTCGAGGAGCGCGCAGATGCTGGAGATGCGCGTCGGCTAATCATAGCTTTTCTCTCTCTTTCTCTCTCTCTCTCTCTCTTTTTCTCTTCTTCTCTTTTTGCCCTGACAACCTGTCTCCTCCGATTTTCTGCCTAGCTGTCCGCAACCGCCACCTTCCGCCTCCTCCTTCTTCAGCCTTCTTTTCCTTGTATTACTGACGACGCTGCGTTTGGTACAAGAACACATGTGCGCGTCATGATACTTTCTCGGATGGCTAATCTTCTCGGTTACCGAGTGGAAGATGGCTTCAAAGAGCCGTCCGCTTGCTCTATATGAATCGGTTGGTTGGTTGGCGTGCGTCTCGAGACAGCTTATCGTTTTGCCACGTTCCAGTCTTCGTACAAGTGTCATGGAGGATGATGCTTTCTCGATGAATTTTAATTTCCTATTTCTGTTTATTATTATTTATTTCCGGTTTTTAATTGCATTATACATTATATATTACAGGCAAATAGTGATATGTCCCTCTTCTCACTCCTAATCATAAGTTTAAATTCCTAAAATTGGCAAATTAATTGCTTGGCATAAATGCGTTTATCAATGATCAAACTTACATGTGAAGAAAACAATGTATTATATGTATCTTATAGGGCAATTTGAAAGCATTTTTGAAGAAATGACTAATGAAAAACAACATTCATTGCTGATGTCATAAATAAAATTGTAATCTAATTGTACGAAAGATCAGCTCAAATAATGCGCATATATTATTCGAGATATTACGAATAATTGAATAGATTGAGATGAGTCAGATTTGTCCGAATAAATATTCTATAATCTAGCGTGAGTATGCGGAAAATAAAATAATAAATAAGAAGAAAAAATCCATTATTTTTCTAAACATATTTCCGGAAGGATTCTACAGAGACAATACACGAGATTTCTAGATATCTATCGAATTTATGCTAGTTGTGAGTAAATTTTTAAAATAAAACATTTATTTTCTTTCACTTGATGTTGGTTGTAATGTTTAAGAGATTACGTAACATTACCTGTACTCTAGCCTCGGACAGAGACACCCTGGTCGCCAGTTCCTCGCGAACGAAAGCGTCCGGATAGTGTGTCTTCTCAAACACTCTTTCTAACGCAGCCAACTGTTGCGCCGAAAAGGTTGTCCTACTCCTCCTAGGTCTTCTATTTCCACTAGTTGAGGAGGTTTCGCTACAATCTGCGAAACAGAGTTAATCTAATAACCAGTACTTATCAGTGACACTTGGCAGATTTTGTTTTCAAGATTATTATCAATTTTTCTTTTTCAGTTTCCAGATTTTAGGCAAAAAATTTTTACATAAAAATATTATTTCACGAGACAAGCGTCAATTTTCTTTATAAGAATTATGTACTTCGTTACATATCTTTGCGTACATAAAAATACACTTCGCGAGAAGAATGCAAAATTATTTCCTGACGATCTGTCCCACGTCGAAATCTGACGTGGGTCGAGATGCCGCTCGCAATATCAGGGCGGTCTGTATCGAAAAAAAGGGAGAAAAAAAACACATGAGCACACGCGGGCCGGCTACATCGCGGCCATTCTTTGAATGGCTCCACTATACTTGGGCATTCATCAAAGCGGCATAATGCGAGCAGCATGACTAGAAATGCGTGATTTTGATGAAATCAAGTGCGCCGTGAATCGCGGATTAAATGTGTACAGACGTGATGAAATCATCTGCTATGGATAATGTGTGTTCTCATACTAGTATATAATTTTTCATGCAATGTAAATTATATTAAAATCCCTTCTAAATTGTATAATATATATGTTATAATGAGAAATTATAATTATAAAGTAATAATGAAATATAGGAAAGTGGAAGATAAACCACTTTTTTACATTTATCTTACAATTAATGATATTATAATAGTAATGTAAGATTATATAAAAAAAATTATCATTAGACATATCTCTTTTAAGAAAATAAATAAAGAATTTGTCAGCAAAAACAATCAAAAATTCTGTCACACAAAATATTTAAATCATTTCTGTCATTACAAAATATTTAAAAGTATTAGTCAAATATTATTACATTATATTATATTGCATTTTTTTATTTTGTCACAATTTTTATTATATGTTTTGATTTGCATTATCAATATATTCTCTTTCAATTTAATTTGATTTCTCATCATAATAATGTCAGGTATGAATTTTCGAATAATTAGCGATGGAAAATAAGAGAAGTGACTTTTTATTTGCAAGTGAATTGTAGAAATCTTCTTGTAAATCTGAAAAAATCTTCTCAAGAAGATTTCGTAGAGAATTCTTCAGGTTTTATTAAAATAAATGTTAATAATATTAATTAATAATAATTAAACAGAGAATTACAATAAGAGTAAGCTTAATTAATCTTCGAAAACTTACACAATTTTTATGCAATTATATTTATATTATGCAATTTTTTTCGTTACATTACTTTCAAAAAAATTATTTGGATATTTATATTAATATTAAATAAAGGACAAAATATATAAAAGAATTAGAACTAAACAAGAAATGTGTCTAAATCTTTAATTTTTTCGAGAACGTTTTCTGAATCTTTGACTTATGTTTTAGATATTTGAATTATATCTGCCGTTAAGAATATTTTCTGGTCCTTACCCAAGGATTGCGTTGATGTGGACAGCAGTCGTGAGACAGTGAAATCTTGTGGCGTGTGCGAATTCGCGAGCTGTGACACTATCACGCCGTTGTTCATGCTTTGCTCCGCATCCATCGTATCCAACATTTTTCCTCTTTTCTCGCACCTGCCTTTGGCGATAATCAATACGATTTCATTTACGAGTTCTCCGCTTTTTGCGGAGGACTCTTTAATCTTTTAACATTCTCCTCTTGTCGCGTATTTATATCGTTAACACACGAGCATCATCTTGATTCCGCGAAATGAAGTCTTACCTGAGAAAGAATAACTTTGTAGAATATTGACATATAAACTTAATTATATGTAATTTTTAATATAGTTTTTACATTTTTATACACATATTGATAATATAAAATTAGGTCTCTTATTTTATATATATATATATATATATATATATATATATAATAAGAGATCTAATTTTGTATATATATATATATATATATATATATATATATATATATAGATATATCAATTATCAATTATTTCAATTATATCAATTATTTTTTTTCTATTATTAGTAAAAATTACTTTGCATTTTGGATCTGATTGTGAGAAACGAAGCCGCGAGCAGATTCGCGGTTTAATTTCACGCGACATGATTATTCAGCCACGATCTCAAAATATCAGCCAGAAACTTAATATTAGCGAGGCTCGAAATTGTAGTAGAGAAATTCAAAATATGAGAAGTCTGAGGAGACGAGCCAATTTGCGCGAATGCCCGTGAGGATGTGTGCGAGATGAATCCGAGACGTACGTCGCGCAACAAGACGTTTGTATCGTTCTATTTTAAACTATATTAAAGTCAAATACCAGATTTACGATGTAAATATTGTGAGAAGCGCGATATGAGTGTCCACGTGCAGGTAAAGTTTAATCTGTGATATTATACGAAGACAAATTAGTTTTCAATGAACGTATAATAATAAAATTAATCGATTTATATTTGGAGAAAGGTCTTGTCAAGCTTGAAAAAAATCGTGATATTTTTCTATGTTGAATTCAGTTTCTATTTATTCATTGTACGTTTTTAGGGAGAAAAAGGGAAAAAATTATGATTATATTATTCGTCAATTTTTGATAATTTATTATTTTTTATTAGTTATTGATGTATGTACTTTTTCTTTTGAGTTATTAAATTTTTCTAAATTTCTCTATAATCTGTCTATTATAATATAAATTAATATAATTAATTTCTTGTTAATATATAACATGGTAACTCTTTAATTATATATATAATACAATCTCTAATAATATAATTATTCAATTATATTATTAAAAAAGTCAGTTGCATGATTTAATATAATTTTCTATTTCTTCTTTTTTTGTTCTGTCTTGTTAGCGATTTTTGGCAAACCAATGCTCAGCTGTTATCCTTTTTCTATAAGGTACTATATATATATATATATATATATATATATATATATAACATCATGTATTAAAATTATAATAACTAAAATTATGAATTAAGCTTTCATTGTAATATTCTTTGCGTAAATTGACTTGCTATTTACATTCTTGTTACGTATTTAAATTTGATCATTCTATTTATTTAACGTTAATCCTGAATGCTATTTTCGTGTAAATTAAACTTCTAAATTGGATGTCCGTATTTAGTACTAATAAGTGCGACATTAAAAAGAATTGCAACATATTAGAATCTAAGTTTATTCATACTTTAACCGAGACAAAAATATAGTAATACTGATAATTGATATTGATAATTGTGTGTGTGTATGACAATGATTTAATGCCAAAAACGGGCGAACTCATTAAGATTAACATCACATAAATCTAATTTTCTAAAATTAAATCTAAAATTAAATCCACTTATCTATTAAGTCAAATTATCTAATCAAATCTAAATTAAATTAGATCTAATCAAACATATGTTTTCCTAGTTGCAAGAGATTAATTGTTTAAAATTTAAAAAAACAATTGCTTAGGTAATTATATATACATTGAATTATTGAATTCGTTCGTAAAAAAGACTGTATATAATACGAATCAAATAGACGCGATCGTTAAAAGACAATTATTTATGCCGGCCGCTGAAGAAATACGGGTGCAACCAGCACTCGTTTATGCATAATTTGTCTCGAGCAATATTAATTAAAGCATTTCCGAACTCGAGCGTGACGGTGTAATTAGGGCCACGTGCCAGCGGTGGCAAAGTGTATTCACAGACTGTTTGAAACTCATACTTTGGCCGCGTACCTAACTGTACAAGCGAACAAACGTGATAATTCTCTTTATTTACCTCTCAAAATTTAATAGAGTCTATATACCGATGCAAATGTCATTCATAATAATAATAATATCCATGATGAAATACATTCTTGATAGTGTTCGCACAATTTCGAAATGGAAGATATAAAATCTAAAATTGCTACATACATAATGGAAATAAATAAATGTAATTAATTTAAGAGTGCGTTCTTTAATTTAATTGTTAGAAATAAAAAGATTAGTATAATAAAAAGAAAGCATTATAATTTATTTTATAAAATGGCTTTTGCAAAAATGCCTTATATAAGGAAGTATTAATAAATTATACAATAAAAAATTGAATATTTATCTTTTTCAATTACACTTTTATATATGTTTAAGTTATAGTTTAATTCATATTTATTTTTTGAATATTTTTTTTAAGAAATTAGTTTAAAAAAACTGTGTGTATATATACAATCGATAATTTATGTCAATTCTAAAAATTATTTTTGTCGGATTGACAGTTGCAAGAGTGATAATTCGAAGATTGTGAAGATTGTAAATATGTTCTTCATAAGTAATAGCTCACTTTATCTCACTTATCACGGCAATTCTGTACGCATTAATATGCGAACATTAGTTAATTTTCGATTCGTCATACACGTCTTATTCGTTGGATAATATTCACGGATATGTCCACTGCCAAAAAATATGTTAATTTTGGTATTTGTGAGCGTAATTGATGTGCCAAGATCCGCGCATGCATTTCGATTCAATTAAGATTCGTCATGTGCTTCCGGTCTCCTTCTTTCGGATTGGCATCCACAATTTTTTCAAGGCACAAATAATAATTAAAATAAGAATTTTCTAATCGAAAAATGATTTAATTATGTATCACATGAATATATATAGAGTTTCAATCTTCGTAAAGCCTTCCTCTTCAAGATTGATAATTTTTTTGCGATTGTATTTTTTTATTTTTTAACATTAACTGTTGATCAAATAATTAAATTTAATTATATATATTCTTGGATAATTAAACATAACAATGCGAATAATTACGTATATATAAATTATGTATATAGAAGTGTGTAGAATTAAATTTTTTTGTCGAGCAATAATTGATTTCTTAAAATCTTATAACTTGTATCTTATGTTAGCCCATCAATGATCTAGTTGTGATGATTCTTTTTTATCGAGTGTCAGTTAAGATTTATTAACTCTTAAACTGCAACATCTGCCAATTGGTGTTTTATTGCGCGACAATAGTTATGATTTAATCAGTTTTTAATCAGTTGAAAATATATAAAAGTGATATAAATAAATAAATAAAAATTGAAAAAAGGGAGTATAAAAATTTTGATTAATGATAGTATCACATTCTACATAGTTTATTAATGTCCCATATTTAATTAAGATATTATAATTATGAAAATAATAAGAAAATAATAAGAAAATCTAAGTTTAAAGATTGAGACTTGATTTTGTTTTTATTATTACGAAAGAAAGCACGAGATTTTTTATCTCTAAATCTTTAATAGATAATTAAACTTTAAGATTGGTTGTTAATTGATGTATTTTTGCAATTTTTATCGATCAAATTTGTAAGACACATTTTGTATCTTCCAACTTCCAGCGTAAAATTTCCTGACATACCTGCGGTCCCCGAACACTTTCGTTCACCCTCTTATTCAACTTCAGCTGTCCAATTTCTATCTTATAAACTAAACTTGGCAAAAGTTCTCCATTCACTTGCAAGAAATTGATACACGTTCACACAGCCTGGTTTGCGTTAAGCATAGATAGGATGTAAATCCAAAGTCTATAATTTTTACGTTGAAGTCACAAGGACATTATTAAGCACCGCTGATCGAGATGCTTGATCGCGGAATCACGCTCGAAAACGAAGGCATCATTTTGCTCAGAGCGGCGAGATGCCAACTGACTTGGCCGAGTTAAGACGTACTTAAAGGTCCTCATCTGCTTCTCCGCCTCTGTCTCTCTCGTTCTTTCGTCTTCGCATCTCTCGTCTTGCGTTCTCCTCAATCTTCTCCCGGTTCGTGCTGTCGCTTCTCGCGGGCAAGCAGAGGGAAATAGAGCGTTTTAAGAGTAGGTGGAGATTTTCATCGCAAGCTCCACCTTCATTAGAAGCTCATTGGTTTCTAAACGGATTCTCTCGCTACGTAAACTAGGAGTTTCAGAAGCGGAAGGACGTATGTGCATACGCTTTTATTATAAAATACGCCGCGACGGCGACGCATCTCCAAGAACACGATGAGGCAATCGATTTATTTTTGTCGAAGTTGCTCTAATGCAACATGTTTTCCATAGGTTTGCATGACAGTTGAATGTAAAATACAGAACATTTCTTTAAAGAAAAAATAACGATAAGAAATATTAAGTTATTTTAACGAGATATTAAAAATCAGAGGTTTAATGATATAATTTGAGATGAAAATTATTTATAGAAGAGATTAAGCTTGGCCGAGACTTTGCAAGAATTTTCTCAGCTAGAATGACGATTTGCAATTAGTATATAATTTAAGCACGTTGTCAGATTTCAGTAAGTCGATCATCGTTTAACGGAAATTTAATTAACACTCGCAGAAGTTTGACAGAATGATATAATGAAGAAACGAATAAATCAGGTAGGGTGCGCATCATGTTCATCGTTAACGTTTTAATGAAAAATTACACAATGACGTATAGGCGCCGGCGTTTCCATAACGGTTTCTGTTTTCAAGGACATGGCTCCAACAGCGATTTTTATAAACCCAGAACATAGGTCTTCTTCATCTTCTTTCTCCTCTTCAGCCTCTCCTCGTACTGGCGGCTGGTATCTTGTTACACAGGGGTGTCGTGTATCTTTCACAATGTTCGATATATAACATCAGGTCATTCACAACGATCCGCAAAGAATAAACGCTGAGCAGGAGATCTTGTCCATTTTTCCTGTTAGCGATAACTTCTGCCTTCAATTTATCGTCTTAATTAATTAAGTAAATCTTATTTTAAAAGCTTGACATTTTTCTTGAATAAATAATTAAATATTAGTTAAGATATTAATATAAACATATTATTAAAAGAGATAATGTTATGGCTTTGTTTTGTATTTTTTTATATATATTTTTTTAGAGAGGAATTAAAATACCAAAAAGTTATAAATTATCCGAAATCTCTTTGACAATTCTTGGATTTTTAATTCATAATTTTATTCGTAATTTTCTTAAGTATTGTTTAAAATCTATAAAATTAATATTCACACTTCATCAATATACACAACTCTTTGTTTTTCTTCCTTTTAGCATTTACAATTCAGATATTGCAAATTGTGTCAAGTCACAAATCAGAGCAATATTTTTTTTCTCACCAAAAAATATTCTCTCTCTTTCTGTTCTGTTTATTTAACGAACCAATAAAGTAAAAACTCATAATTCTCCTTTATGAAAAATCGAAACGGAATGATATGCGATTAATGTGGTCGCGGAAATGGATCTAATATAAATATTAGAATCGCAAAAAATGTGTGCTCTTTAGAAAAAAAATATAAAGCTACCCTTGGATTGTGAAATGGATAAATGGTTACTCGTGATCCCTCTCATAATCTGTCGCTGTATCCCAAACATTATTTATTCCGTCGGGTGATCCAGTTCTCGATACGGGATCAACGTCGAATAGTATGAACCATAAGAAGTTTTATTCCCTCTTCTAGATACTTCGATCAATATCCAACTCGAAACGACTTTTCGAAAATATAGTCACGGATTGAGATTGCGCCAGCGGTAGAAACTTTATGGCACAGTAAAAATATTTTTAGGATCTTTTATAGTGAGTAGTGTTTTGAAACCCCTCTTTCCAGGAGCAAAACACAAGTGAAAAAGAGATTGATAAATAGATACACGTAACATTTATATATCTCAACTTATAGTTATTTTCTCAGTGACTGATGCATGTATTTCAATTGATAATAATTGAAAGAATTCCTAGACTTTGGCGATATGAAGAAGAGCCGGGAAATAAACTCAAGAAATGATCCGGTTACAGTTTTAAGTTGCGTATGAGATTGACGTCTTCGTCTATAAAATTAGAATACGCAAACGCAAATGCCATCAGCCAAATCGCGCGCCGCGAGATGCTTTTCGTAGCGTTTTCTTCGCGATGTCAAAACGTAGAAAAAGTAGCGAGAAGAGTAGTGATGGTAATTTTACGGCGCAAAATGGTCGAAAGTGCGTTAAAAGCCGGACGACAGAGTGCCAACAGCTGACCGCGCTATAAGGGATGTCGCAAAGTTACTCTTTCTCTCGACATTAATGGACGAAGAACAACAATTTCAATATCAAACGTTAATGGATAACTTGTTAATGGATAACGAAATAGCGTAATTGCAATTATATAATAATTAAGAGTTAAAAATGTGACAACTCAAGTTTCGATGACTTTACTTTTAGAAAATTTTTTAATTAAACATTAATATAAAAATGGAATGGTATATTACCAGTATATAATTTTTAACAACTTGATAGAAATTTAATATTGAGATATCGCGAAGAATAAGGTGATCAACCATTTGAAAAATGAGACTCAAGTATTTACAAAATTGCGAATTTATCCTCTTTATAACATGCATGATTTGGGAGTTATCCTATGTTTATGGGAGACGCAAATGACACGCGTAGATATATATGCAATTATATCACTCCGCAATTTTATTTATGTGAGGCTTTTACGAGTCCACTACAGTCCCTCTTACTGCTCCGACTTAATAAAACGTTTGTTGGGCATTTTTGAAAGCTGTTTAAAGCCGAATTATTTAGTAAACCGCGAAGGGCTACGCAATATCATGCGAGCCAATTCAAATTGCATTCGCTAAATTTTCGCAGAAATTATTATAAATAATCTCGTTATAATTGGAAAAAATATATAGTGTTTTATGCAAACATTGTTAGATGATTTCCTATATATTTTCTAATAGATGGTTTGATGAATTTCGCGCTTGCAGTCACAAATATTACGTAATTATAATTTCTAAATATATATAATATTTCTACAAGTAAAAATTATTTAAACCGATTCGATTGCGATTAATTAATTATATTCTCTTTCAAGTACACTTTTTATTAAAAGCAATTTTTATAATTTTATTTTTATAATTTGATATTATATATATAGGATTTATAATTTTGTCTGATGTTATATATGTACGATGTAAGAATATATTATTCTTTAAAATAACGAATTACAAAACAATACAAGAAATAGCAATAGTTAAAATATTTCAACAAACTTTATTATTTTGATATTAAAGGAAATTAATTTTATTTTTTTAACTTCTAAACACATTTTTTATTTTCTCATTGAATCACCCAAATATTAATATCTCCTTAAGACTTGAAAAGAAGCGCATATCTTCACGATCGGTGACACTGCAATAGCATTACTCTCCATTGAAATCACCGGTATTCGCGCGGATTTCTCAATGCGCCAAATCATTCGAGATTCCTGGTCTCTCCCGGAGTGGAATCCCTCTGTTTCGACGTTTGGAGTTATTCGTCGTGTTTTCCCGAAAAAGAGATAAACCCGCGAGCTTTCTCGCGCTGTTCCAGTCACGGTGAGACGGACGCGCGCGTCGCGACGCCGTGACACGTACACGTCGTGCGTCGCCCGCCGAGAATTATTAGGCGGGCCTGGAGCGCGTTTTCTCGCTGACGATGACGCCCATCATCCTCCGGGACTTTTGTTCTCCCGCAGTTCTTGTTCGTCTTTCTCCCGTCGACAGAGCTATGCGATCGCGAAGGGATTTCGAGATATCCCCTAGAAATCTTAGCGTTTAGTCGCGCGCGCTGACTCAGGACACGCGATGATATAAACAGGTCATACGGGGTCATAAATCTGTCGCAACGTAGGGGTTCGTGAGAAATAGACGGATTAAGAGGAGAATTGATAGGAATTCGCTTTGTGCAAAGACGAATTCCTCGCATCTTTTCGAAAATAAAAATCTTTTGCAAAATGTAAAAGTTTTTTATTATTCTTTTCGCGATAAAAGCTCTTGCATGGAATTGAATTCCCAAAGTAAGTTTTGCATTAGAAATTGCAAGATTTTTATATCGATTATCTATAGATCGATCTTAAATTTGTTTAATTTCTTAATAGATAAATAAATAAGCAGATTTTTCTTTTAGAAACTTTTACTTGCTTCAAATTTGATGCTTTATTTGTATAAGATGCATTTTTTTAAGTCACGTGTGCTTGAACTGCTTTATCATGGGAAGTTCCAATTCGATTCGCAAAGGAAGTATGTCCCCGGCTACTTTCGCGTTTTTTCGATCACTGCGATTTCGAGAGCGATTCGAATTGCTAGTTCGTGAGAGGTCTCGGGGCCACGTTGTCGTGGGGCCTGGTGAATGTCCAACGTTCTGTAACGCGAGAGGAGGGGTCGCGTGAAACCGCATCTGCGGTTTTCGACCACCGTGACGTGATCGGTGGGTCTGTAGAATCGTTTCCACATGTGCGAGAAGATGCGGAAACGCCGTTTAAGCTATTTTCCATAACATTTCCATATCCTTTGGATGATCACTTCGCCTTCGTCGTTGACTTTCGGTCACCACCTTGCGCCATTCGTCGATGCGTAAAGTCTGTCGCGTTTTATTGCTGCTGCGACGTGGACATCGAGTGCATATTGCGTTCTACTTACGTCAGATCAATCCCTTATTCTTGCCGAGCGGTCTAAGTCCAATAATGCTAGCGATTTTTAAACTCTTGTTAAGACACTTTAGAAATTGTTTAATAGGTCTTGAGTATTTTAACAAGCCTTAATCATTAATAAAAGTTTTGAATTTGTCATAAATTAATTATATAAAGATTCTCAACAATTCCTTTGTCGCGATAAAACATGGCGCGATGCTAGGAAACGTTACGAATCAACAGAGGTTCCAGACTGACTTATTGTCGCGAGTCTCT